AATAATATGCAAATTTAATCAAAAAATACTTATAGATGTGTTGCATAGTTATTAATATTTTTTTAATAAGTTCTTCTAGATCTAAAATATTATTTTAGAATTATATCAAAGTCTAGATATTTGTTTTAGAATTTCGGTTTTCTTTAAAAACATTCTATGTAACTTTCATGTTGGATTACATAAATTTAAATATACAAATCGATATATCATTTAGACTAATTTTATTATTTTAAAAACTGTTTATTCTTATTACATCTCTTAATAGCTATTTTTTGTTTATCATTAATTTAAATATATATATTACTATTATTATTTATTCTAATATTTTAATTTTAATTTTAAATATAATATTATATATATATATATATATATATATATATATATTAGACAACTAGCTAATAAAATACTTCTTTCTTTTTGTGCATTTTTCTCTTTCTTTGCTTTAAGAAAGGGTGGTGGTTAAGAAGGAGACAATGATTGTTTTATAAAAAACCAAATCTTAAGTTTTTTTTACTATATATATATATATATATATATTTATTATTTTTAAAAATGTATTTTTCTCAAAAATTATTTGATTTAATATTGTACGTGTGTTTTTATAATTGTTATTATTTGGCTATCAAAAAGACAAAAGAACATATTTTTTTTATTTATTCGATGTTTGGGTTAATATTGAGATTGAATATTAGGTTGCCAAATGCACCCTAAGCATAGAAGTGTACTTTATAGTCAATTTAAACCATGTGGAGGTCATGTGTGGTGTAGGAATATTAATTGGAAATGTAGTGTCAATATTTTTGATAATATGTATATTTATTAAGAAAATCTAATATATGTCATGATGCACAATTACAAAAATTATATACATTACAAAAAATCCTATAAGTGCATTCATATTGTTATAGTAGAATTGACATACAACAAGTATATTGTTTCTTTGCATTATGTTACATACATATTGTGTTATTTTATTTTATTTTTTAAATAAAAAAATAAAATATCCAAGATATTTTTATAATTTTTTTTGCTTGTAAATATACTTTTTATTTTATTTTTTTAGTTTAATTAAATATTTGATTGATTACCTTTAAAAACATATTTTAATAGTTAAGTATATTAAACTTTTTGTATCCAATTCAATAAAAAATTTACTTTTAAAATTAAAAATTATGTTTGGTTTGCATATTTAAATTGTAGTAATTCTAAAATTAAAACACATCTTAAAAATTTAATTTAGAAATTAAAATTATCAATTGAGGTTGAATTTTATTATCTTTCTAATGAAGATAAATTTTAAGATAAATATATATTTCTTTATTTCTTTATATTTAATAAACATATTTTATAGTTATAATTACTCATGTTTATTTGTATTCTACTTATTTACTTTTGTAAATATTGAGAAATTTTGAACTTTTCTTCGTTCAACTGTGTTGATTTAAATTGCTCTATATGAATATAAGATTGGAAGTAAAGTATTTTGAATTTTCTTCTGATTCATGTGCAAAAACATTATTAGAATTTAATAATTAATCTTGAATTTATGATTAGCATCAAGTGAATTTCAATAAGTTTTATACATCTAATTGTTAAAAATAAAAAAAATCATATATTTGAATAATAATCCAAAATTTTAATCACACATGTATAAATTTTACATATGCATTCAGAGTAATTATTTATTTCAAGTATGCCAAATCTTATTTTCACTAATAAGTACTTACAAATATTATGTTTTAAAAATCAGGATGAATATTTTCATATATCCTAATAATCATCAAAGTTTCATTTAGAAGTATAGTTTCATTGTTCTTCTTTGATAATAAGCACAATGTATATGCCTTATTATTTGCTTCATATTGATCATGAAAGAATTTGATTCCTATTGTTTTAAAATAAATAAATAAGTCAATTTGTGCATTTAATTAAATATGCAAAAAATCATAATATCTCAAATTTTGAAATAAAATTAAAGAAATCAAACAAACAAACTGAGAAGCAAGAGGAAGAGAAATAGTACAACATTGAAAGTTTCCTGGCTCATTGAAAGAGTTGACTCTTTGCAACCCAAAAGCTCTGGTCAACAATGGACTTGATTATTTCAACTCACTAATTTAGACAAAAATGATTGTGGTTGTTACCTATACTTCCACCATTATGCATTTCCAACAAAAATCTCCACTTGATTACTAAAAATGTATCATTTTACTATCTAACATTCCCTGTAAAATGAAAGACTTTTGTTCAACATAATTGAAGGTTACAATATACTTCATTCGTATATATATATATATATATATATACATACATATACATATATTAATCCTCACACATCAATGTGAAATAAATTGTTGCAAGAAGGCAATTCTCCTGAACTTTTTATGAGAGCTTGTCCAACAATTTAAAATCAATGAACTATTTAACTCAATCAAATCCTGTCTGGGGACAAAGAAAATCCTAAAATAGAAATACATCATCAACTTTCACCATTTGGACTCTCATGAATGAGTTGACTCAATTTCATGAATTGTACATACTTTGAATGAGTTGACTTACTTTCAACAAATTGTCTGAAACATGGACTATTCTTTGGAGTCCAACTTGTTCTTTATACTTTCATCTACATGATTGAGGGCAAGATGATGTAAGAGCTACATTGTATCTACCATCCTACACATACTTATAAAAATATTATTGAGAAAAGCAAAGAATTATTGCTAAAATTGCAGTAGCAATCCTTGATTGTTTGCATGTTTCACAACAGGACAATGATCAAAGTATGTAAGTCATGACATTTTCATGTTAATACACAACAGACTTTTGAAATAACTGCCACAAAGTCCAACTTACTGTAATGGGAATTTCTCATTCCAGAATTACTATCTTGTTTTAAATTATTATTGTTATAATATTAAATTTGCATAATTATTGATCCACTCAGTTTGTAAAAATTAATCAAGATTGCAACTTCATATGACATAGCACAACACTATTAATCAAATAAAGGCTTGTACAAATTTTCATGAAAATGTCATGAAAATTTGTCATGAAAATTTGTCATGAAAATTTCATCAAAATGTCATGAGAATGTTATGAAAGAAAGACAGAAAACAAAACAAACAATAGTAGTAGAAAAAGGAATACAGATATGGATCTTATTTTAACATTGTGATACATCTATTGTATGAGCACAAATCCCAACTCCATGGCTGAGTGGGCCCAAGGATGATATTTGGCCTTGGTCAACACCCCACTCTCTACCAGGGCAAAGTGGTTGACACATGGTCTCAATTTTTGTTGCATTATATGTGGATGGTAATTGGGCTATTTTTGTAAATGAATACTACAAACTAATTTTAAAAAGTATATAAAAGTCTAAAACATGAGCCATTGGTATGGCATACTTGCTGGGGTCTTTAAGGAGCACCCACAAGTAGTGTTTAGGAGGGTAGAAGTCAACTCTCGTAAAATTAAATTAACCAAACAGAAAAGAAAAAAAAACGTAGAATATAGGACTTTGTAAATAAGAACAAAAACAGTCTAGGCGATTATTGGAGTCTTTCATCCTGGAAAAGACCCAAGTCAAAACGTAAATAATATAACCAAAAATCACTTTTATTCTTCCTCTAATGAATGTCTGTGACAGAATGTTTCTTCCCGTAGTAAAGTGGTAAATATTTGTGTTGGTTTCGTAGGTCGTAAATTAATGAGATTCATGCACTAAATGCCATTAGCAGTGTGGGTGGGATGACAAGCCAAGGATTCCGACGAAAGCAGAATTCATCACACCTCACTCTCACAACCAGACTCAGTAGAACAGCTTCCAACCCACATGAGAGCTGTGCTAGCAACAGAAACACAAGCAGAAGAAGAAGACGACGACGAAGCAGCAGCAGAAGCAGCAGCAGCAGAAGTTCAGAAGTAGAAATAGAGGAGCTCGGCGATTGCTGTGTGAGTTCGGGGCCGCATGATTTGCGCAAAGCATGTTCCTCAGGAGGGCAGAGCCGTCTTGTTCCACAAGGATGCTGTTCGAAAGTCGAGTTACCAGCTTAGTCCCTAAAGCATGATCGTCATCTCCGACAGCCTGGACTCTTCAAATGAGAAACTTCTTGCAATCGTCATGATCTTGTGACGATCCAAAATTCTTTTCCGAAGTCATGAAGAACGGCCTATTAGAGGAGTTTTCAACGCATTCTTTTCTTTTAGTTAGATTCTGGTTTATTGCTCCGAGGTGGTATGAAACAAACCATTATTGAAAGTGGAGGTAAGGAGTTATCTCAGAGCTTTGGAAACAAACAGTAAAATATGCACTTATTTACGTGTAGACGACTGTACTTGCTCAAAACTAGTTTAATCTCGAATAAAATCTCTCACCCCTCCGAAGCTACCTCGAACTCTGAGCTCATGTCACTTTTTTTCTTTTTCATATTCGAAATCCAACTAGTTCACGTTCAATAGGTCCAAAAACAAAAGGCCTGAAATTCACAATCCTCTCATAACATTTCATAGTGTAACAAGTGCGTCCCATGACCATAAAAACTCTCAACAACTTCAACCGCTCAAATGGAGGAGAAGATTCAGCAGACATTGTAAAGTCCCTCTTCACAATCTGGTTCCATCACAACAACACAACAGAGCTTTACCCGAACCGGATAACTCGTCAAATCTTACATCCAACATTCTGTGTCCCAGAACTTCTGGTAGCTCTTTTGCACCTCACACTATACTTCATTCCTGTTGGTTCCTGTAACTTCCTCTCACACACAGCAAAGAGCATTTACATGGCATATAATACAGATCTGGGGTGTTACAGTGAAGACTTTACAGCTTATAAGGTAACTCATGATCCCGCATGCTATGCTGTTTACCAACGTAGTTGTCAACTGGGAAATTCATGCGAAAAATGTATCCACGAAAAAGTGATATGAATCCAGCAGTGAGGAGGAGTACGTGAGATTCGCTTGCGAAGTCACACGGGAGTCAAGTATATAAGCGACGGATCTGAACACCACTGAGCACTCACACTTCACCGATCGCCTTCCTCCGCCTTCGGTGCATCCATTAGTTCCCTCACTCACTCTGCTCTGGCATCAGTTGCTCTGAAAGCCTAGCGGCAGACCTTGGCTTCTCCAGGTCGAAACCTTCTAGTACCCCGATTCAGTGAGCACACTCAACTGTTGTGTGGACAACAGTTGTTCGCTGGCTGGCAGCAAGTTCGTTGCTTGTTGTTCCAGCTGATTGAGAGTTCCTGAGAAGGTGCTTGACAGAATGGCAGCTTTCGATCCGATGGGTGCATCAAAACTGCAAGTTTTGCTGATGACAGTGGCTGTTGCCATGTTTTTCTTGAGCGGCGAGGTGGAAGCTAATTCGTACAACCTTCGACCAAATTATTACTCGGGCAAGTGCGGCAAATATGATGTAGAATCGATAATCTACAATGAGATTGCCAAGGCATTTCAACAGGACAATGGAGTCGCCCCCGGCCTTGTGAGGATGGCCTTCCATGATTGTTTCGTTCGTGTAAGTGTGGACTCTCCTTCGTCGTGCGACTTCGTCCAGTGCTTGTAATTTGTGTAGGCTTCGCCAATGTGCTTGCGTCTTGGCGAGTTTACGGGCACACGTTTTGAGGATCAAGTCATGTCTGTGATGGTGTGCTTTTGCACCGAAATTACTTCGGACTGTGAGGATGCATCTGAAGTTGGATGTTGCTCTTCCAGGGCTGTGACGCCTCATTGCTGCTTGACATACCCAATTCTGAGAAGACTGCAACCATCAACCTAGGTCTTCGGGCGAGCGCTTTCAACGCAATCGACGCTGCCAAAACCGCCGTGGAGAGTGTGTGTCCAGGGGTCGTTTCCTGTGCTGACGTTCTACAATACGCTACTCGCGACTCTGTGCTGCTGGTGCTGCTCACTTGACCCTGAATCGATTATGTCACCACTGATTGATCATCTGTGGACAACATCTCTGTATCTTTAGTTCATGCTTCCTTGGAAAGATTTCCCTTGAATCTCAGAACTTCCAGACGACCTCTCATGTTGAAGTCATTTGTATGTTGATTGCAGACCAAAGGTAAAGGCTGGACTGTGTATGGCGGTCGAAGAGACGGAACTGTGTCCAACGCTGCCGACCCCCCCAACAACCTACCAGTGCCAACGATGACGCCAACTCAGATGATTCCTCTCTTCGCAGGCAAGGGATTGAGCGCCGATGATTTGGTGGCTTTGTCGGGCAGTCACACCATCGGAATTGCTCACTGCATTTTCGTGAACCCTCGCATCTACGGGAACAACACCGATCCTACGATTCCAGCCGACTTCTTGGCGTCGTTGAAGAGTCAGTGCCCAGCGGATTCTGTCACTACTAACCCGCCCGTTGGAGCCCCGATCAACCTGGACCGGGTTTCACCTACCAAGTTCGACTCGCAGTATTTCCAGAACATTATCGACAGGAAGGGCTTGCTCACATCCGACCAAAGCCTGCTGGACGATTCCAGAACCAGAGGAGCCGTGTACAAGAACAGCGGAAATTTCTTCAATTCGGAATTCGGAAGGGCCATGCAAGCCATGGCTGGAATCGGTGTACTCACTGGCAATGAAGGCCAAATCCGCACGAATTGTCGCGCCGTTAACCCTTAGATGGAGACTTGCACTCGACGTGGTTCATGGAATTTGAATTCACCGATGGACGCTATAACCATGAGTTTCTTCAGGAGGTAGTGAGTCGAGCTTAGATGCCGAGGATGGAGTGCTTTTGATGTATAAACCGCATTCGGTGTACCACTGTTGCTGTCAAAGAGAACTGTGCGGTTTAGTATATGGATCATTGTCTGTAGAGTAAAATGTTCGTGTATCCTAAGCGCGGTGTGGTAGAAGAATTACATTTCAATCTAATAAACTGGGTCATTCTTTTGTGTACTCTTGAGTTGCGTGGACTCCCTGGTGCTGCATATTCTGTCGTTTCGGCCGAGAGGAGTGATGTGTCATTGCAGCTGTGACATCTTGACGCTCAAAATGAAATATCCTGTTGCTGTAAACTAGGCAACCAAATTGGGGAACAATCCACCCTTAGTGGATGATGAGTTCCTTAGAAAGCTCGGTTCGCTAGTAAAAATCTTTGAATTGGTGAGGTGAAGCTTCACAATTTAGATGAATGTAACTGGGCTGAAGTAATATGTAGTAGAGTACCATAATGGTGATAATGTCCCCGATTGGCATTTACAGAAATAGAAAACCCACACCCCGAGAGCTACATGAACTGCAACCACATATTCCACTCATTAATGTTGCCAAAGGCATAGCATGCAGTGATCATGGCACCATGTCTAAACGCATGCAATTTCGTACCCAAGAATTGAATAAACGCACAAATTAAAAACCGCCCCCATGTAATGGCGGTATTCTTTGACCCCATCAGGCGCAGCATTTCTTCTCAAGCAAGGTGGGCGTGTGTGCAACTTGCGCAGTGGCGGTTGCAGAGAGGTGCTGGCTCTACGTCGCAGCCGTGGCCTTCCCCATTTCCCTTCACCGCTTTGACAAATACGCCCTCCTCTCACTCCACTTGACAATATGAATCCAGAAATCATTGAGGGATACGGATCGAGCTCAAGCCGAATCGATCTAGTGGTGTTGGCAATATTCACACGCCAATTGCTCGGCGCTGCCCCGAAGTTCTAAGATCTAGACCTTCAAATACAACAACTTTATGATTGGGTGGTAGCAGAACAGTGAAAGTTGAATAAGCTGAGGGATTGAGAAGTATGTGTGGAGCCACTCTTGGGGGGAACTACAGTAGGGTGTGCAACTGTTAACAGGAGGAAAAGGTTTGTGATGGGTGCGTGGCTGCCAAAGGTTGCTGACACCAGTAACTGAGCCTTATTTTAACACGTTGTGTTGACTGTCATACAAGTCGACGTGAAATTCTGGGTCCTGGGGTCAACTCGGCTCTCTCCAAGTAGGGCTCTTTGACTTGTTACACGGTCCCACCGATTAGGGATGGCTGACACAAATCGTTTCGATGGTGCAAAATTATCTCCTTGGGATTGAAGACGGAGAGGGGTATCAGCGGCTCTGAAAGTGTTGAGCACTGGTTCATCTGCTCAATGATCATAAAGGGTTCTTACGTTTAGTTATCTTTTATTTAATTTCAATATTTTTTTTATTTCTTGAGGAATATGTTCATATTTTTGTTGATTATTCGATGTGTACTAGTTTGATGAAGACAAGAAGTTCATTTGATTGTCGGTTGTCTTTATTGCCATGTATATTTTTATAATAGAGTTCAAATTACCGATTATGGAGACATACAAAAATTGCACAACTGAAGCATGGTGAATCTCCAAAAAAGCACTTCATGCTGCAATGAGAGTGACTGAAATTATCGAGGATGAATTTTTAAGTGTAACTATTTTTTTAAATGATTATAGTTATATTCTGAACATCTTCTTTACATTCAAGTATAATTTCATGCTCTAAATCTTCAAAATTTTCTTCACCATGAGTGTTTGTATTAGTGTAACAAATGAAAACTTGTACATATATTTGGTTTACCTTGTTTTAAAAAGTCTGTGTCGAAATCATTGTCGAAGCTCACCTTCTTTGAAATCATTGTGAAAAGAAGAGAAGGAAGAAAATTGAACAATAATCATTGTTTATTATTAGTTTTGTAAAGTGTGTATTACAAAGGTTGATCACAACTTGAATAATAAATAGACATAAATATGAAATGACATGAAATTGGTATTTAAATGTTATAGTTACTTTCTAACACTTCTTAATCTACATTTAAATTATCTACTATTTAATTTGTCTTATGATCCATTAATTTTGAACATTTTAAATATTTGGATCTTCGTAAAGCTTTTTGCCAAAGCATCAACTACTTTGTCTTGATGTGGCCAAAATATCATACAAATATCTTCATTTTCAATCTTTTTTTTTAAATAATAATACTTTACATCAACATGTTTTGATTGGCCATGATAGTATGGATTTTCAGATGAAGCAATTGTAGATTGATTATTATAATATAAAGATTAAACATTTAATTGATGATTGCATATGTCTATTAATACTTATTTAATCTAAATAGTTTTTTTACAATTAAAACACAAGATATATATTTTGCTTTTATAGAAGATAGTTCTATAATAGATAGTCTTTGACTTTGCCAAGAAATAACTCTACTGGCTAATATAAAAAGATAAATCAAAATAGATGTTAGAAATTATGCATCACTTGTTTAATCATTGTCACTTCAATCTTAAACATGATGTTGATAATCAATAGAACTTTGTTAATGGTGAGTAAGTATTCTAGTAGTTAAAATACCGTCAAGATAGGCTTAGCGTAGAAGCACATCTCAAATTTCTAGATGTACATCTACTATACATACATTCAAGGCCTCTAATTAGTCGATCCAAATTCTTTTTTTCTTGACTGCATACAAATCCTAATCTCTGGCTCCTCTTCATCCTTATCTTAATGTGGATCTTGATCTCTTGCTTCTTCTTTTTATTGTCATAGCATGGGTTTGAGTCCCATTTCTTCTTATTTTCCTATACCAATACAAGTCCTACACCTCTTCATTTTTATTTTTATTTTTTTGTCTCCACACGAGTCTTAATCATTTCCTTCTTCTCTTCCTTGTCTTAACATGGGTCCCAATCTCTTCATCTCTTTTTCTTTTCTTTTTTTTTATTTTTAATCCCGACATAGATCTTAGATCTCCTTTCCTTCTTCTTTGCCATAACATAGATCCGAGACCTCTTCCCTCTCTTTCTTGCTTCAATATTGGTCCCAATCATCTCCTCTTTTCCCCCCTCTTCTTTTTTTTGTCATTGAGAGAATCTTGGTTTCTTATCTTCGTCTCTTATTTCCTTATCTTGGCAATAGAACCTATGCCATGGCAAAGACGAAAGGGAGAAGGTCCAAGATCCATGATAAAATAAGAAAAAAAGAATTTAAATCAACCAATCAAAAATCTTAGATGTATGTATAGATAAAAAGAATATATGTATAGAAATTTAGGATATGCTTATAGCCTAAGCCTTAAGATATCTCATTATATGTATTATTGCATATAAATGTGTTTGACTTAGATTGATCATAAACTTAGCAACATGGCTAATATCAAAAATAATATCAAGCTTAATATGAGTCATGGCATGTATTAAGCATCCTATGACAATTGAATAGAGAACATCCTTTATTATTTCTATATCTTTAAGATCAATTGGACTTATGTCTTAGTTAATCTTAATTTTACTATAAGAGAGATTGAGACAAGTTTATAATAATATATATTAAAATTTGTAATAATTTTATTTATATATTTAATTTTTGATGATTGATTTAAATACTAATTTATTTATTAATCATATTGCTTTCAACTATCATACTTAAGCAACCATCTCTACTTTTAAAAGATGCTTTGTTGATCATGTCAAAGCCACTTACTGAAATTATTTTAGTAATATTCAAAAATTATATATATTATTAATAATAATAGACTTTTTGATGTATAATACCAATATAACATACTTTTTTTGAATTATATTTTTTTAATATATATATATATAAATTAAAATTTACTTTACCACAAAAAAGATCATTTTCAATGACATAGTAGTTTAATTTTTTTTACTATGTTTGTAAAGCTTTTTTTAATCCATATATAAATTTTAATAACTTACAAAATTTATGTAGAAAATGAAGGTTAATATAATCCTCAAGTTGAGTCATATAAATTACTTTATTTAAGTGATGATAAAAAATTGCAATCTTTATAGCTATTTGTTGAATATATAGATTATACATTGTATCTATGAATAATAAAATATATAATGAACTTATTTTTATTCACAAGAAAAATTATTTATGCATAAATAATAACTTTTTTTGTAAAAACATTCTAGCAACCAATTGATAATGTCAATAAGTGCTAATGCTAATTTTTTGCATAAAGGACTTTTATCCACTTTGCAAGGCTATAAACAAGACAAAATAAGGTAGAATAGCAAAATTAGTATCACAAGTATTTTAAGGTAGAAGTAAACAGTAGCTTCTAGCAAAACTTTCCTATAAAAATTAGATGTTAATACTTGGAGAAGATTAGTTATGAACTTGGATTGAAATCAGATTCCAAGGTATAAATCCACCTCCTTATAAGAAATCCACAATTCTTTTGTAGATTAAAGAATGGGATTTGAGAGCAAACAATGAAGAGATTTTTTAGGCATTAGTTTTGAATGATTTAAGATTGTGGTGACTTAATTAGAGCTTTACAAATTTAGGATTATTTTGGGTGATTCTAATTTTTGTAAAATAAAAAGGTTTTATATTTTAGAGCCTTTTGTGAGTTTTGAAATAGATCTACAAGTAAAAATTTGTAGGTTTGTGATTATAATTGTATTGAATATATGTTATAATTTCGAGCTTGCTCATATAGTGTAATGAATGGTTATTAAATTTTAAGTGGATTGAAATCTAAGAAATTGGAATTTGATGGATTTTTAAGGATTGATTAGAATTACAACAATCTATAGGTTATATTATAATAAAATATGATGTACTAATAGTAAAATTAATTTTTAACAACTATAAAAAATTTGAGAGCAATTACATGGTAAAAATAAGAAATATTGGTATTTAGAGATTGACATCAATATTGGAGAAGGAGATTGGTTGATACTTGAGCACATTATGATTTATTTTTTATTTTTTTATTTTTTCCTATTTAGTAAGCTCAATCTTCTTCAAATTTAATATACTTTTTTTCAACTAAGAAATTAAAAAGTATAATTTTTTTGAATTAAGATTGATAATTATATTATTATTTATTAAGGTTTCGAATTTACTATAGGATTTGGTTAAAATTTGGTTAAAATATGGTTAAAATTTGAATAGAGATTTTTTTG